TACCCCGCCCCCCCCCCCCCGCGCCCCCCCCCCCGCCGGCTGCCGGGCCCGCCCCGCCCCGGGCCGGCGGCGCTCTACCTGCAGGTTGCTGTTGGTGCCCGCCATGGTGGAGCGGGGTGGGAAGGAGACCGGAGAAGAGAGCGTAGGCCCGCGGCTGCCGGTGGTGGAACTCCCCTCCTCCCCCCACCGCCGCCCACAGAACCGAAACCGCGGCCTCCACCAGGCGCTTCCGCACCCCGAACACCCGCTTCCGCTTCCGGGCGCCGCCCCGCGCGCCGCGTGACGTCACTGCCATGCGCCGCGCCGCGCCCCGCCGCAGCGGGAGCTCTGCGCATGCGCGGCTCCCTCACGGAGGCGCAAGGCCGCGGAGCGGGCAGGTGGCGCTTGGGTTGGTTCTGTGAGGTGTTAGAAGGTTGTTGGTAGGGCTTGGGGTGGAATTGATTTTTCCTCCTCTCACGCCAAGCCTAAGAAATCTTCCTACACCTCTGCGCTGCCCTCCGCCAGGGTTTGGCTGCCTGCGGTGCTGCCGTCTTTGGCATCGCCTGGTAAAAGCGCTGAACGCCTTGATGGGCAGAACTGGCGCTTAACGAGTTGGGCCGCGGGTGGTCAGGTGTTACTCACCTGTGGGTTAGTAATAAAACTCAAGTGATCTGCGTTGCCCACACAAAGGAGGAAGTGATTCAGAACACGGAAAATTGCAAACCGGTGTGGTGGGTTGACCCTGGCTGGAGGCCAGGCGCCCACCAAAGCTGCTCCATCACCCTGCCTCAGCTGGACAGGGGAGAGAAAATAGAAGGGAAGGCTCGTGGGTCGAGATAAGGACAGGAGAGGTCACTTGCCAGTTACTGTCACGGGCAAAACAGGCTCGACTTGGGGAAAATTAATTTAATTTATTGCCAATCAAATCAGAGCAGGGTAGTGCGAAACAAACCCAAATATTAAAATACTTTCTCCCCACCCTTCCCGTCTTCCCAGGCTTAACCTCACTCCTGATTTTCTCTACCTTCTCACCCTGGCGACGCAGGGGGACCGGGAATGGGGCTGGGGTCTGTTCATCACATGTTGTCTCTGCCGCTCCCTCCTCCTCAGGGGGAGGACTCCTCACACTCTTCCCCTGCTCCAGCGGGGGGTCCCTCCCACGGGAGACAGTTCTCCATGAACTTCTCCAACCTGAGTCCTTCCCCGCGCTACTGTAATTCCTTTAGGGCAAAAAAGGAATATCTGGGAAACCACTAGATTAATAAACCCCATTCTTCCAACTAGCTCCAAGTAACCACAATACAAGTTGACTTAATTTCAGTGTCACTTTTTGATTTTGTTTTGTAATAAAATAGTTCTCTGAACCTTTTCGATACTGTCAGTAGGCTGCCTGTTCTGGGCAGAGGGTAAAAGGCATAGCCACAGTCACCCCTATACCTGGGAAGGTTGTGGTAATCTCTTCCTCAAGTTATCTGGTTGGCAGTTTATTTTGGTAATGTCCTCATATATCCACATGCTGGAGGATGCTTGAGAGAACATGAAGCCTGCTGGTAGACCTTGGTCTTGCTCATCCATTTCACTGGGAAACCATTCAAAGTCTGTGGTGGATGGTGGCAATACATTTCCTGGCATAGTACAGTAATGGGTCTGGTTGTGCCTCCCTGGAAAAGAAAATTTAAATTTGTACCTTTTGAGCTAAACTCTTTGGATTTCTTAGTTGTGTTAATTTTCACTCTACTTCTGGTTTAGTTTTTAAAGTTGGAAACTCTAAATATGTAAATGCTTGAAGATGCACTATGATTTTGATTGAGGTGTGTGTATGTACGAAATGTGTTATCTTCTGGACTAAGTTACTTTACTCTAGGCAATGGAATGACTCCAGATGTATACGCCTGTACTTCATAGTGAGATTAATCCAGCACATCAGGAAAATAGCCTGAGAAAATGATTGCAGATATAACTGAGGGCACATTTTGAAACTGTTCACTTGATCTTTTGACAAAGCACAGAAATAAAAACGTAGCTTATTTTCTTAAATTGTGAAATATACAGTCTGCTACTACTGTGTTTTTTGGACAACATTTAGCATAGTGTATTTATTTCAGGACTTTTTTCTACTGTTACATGGGTACCAGCAGAAATTGTCAGGAACAAAAATGAAATCTGAAACAATATTTTTCTTAGGTTTGCCTGTGTTGTCTTCAAGGGTAATATTTGCTCTATACAGCGTAAGTCTGGGGACTTCTGAGGCTTTCCTCATTATGAACTCACTGGACAGGGACGCTTATATTGGTGTTCTGTATACAGGCCAAGGACAAACATTTCACCTAGGTCTTCTCTGCATAGTATTTCATATATTAGGTCTTGCTAACTCATTGAGATTGAATGGAATAAAATCTCTTCGATGATATCTTCATGCACGATAGAGCAGTTGTGGCTTCACGGCTGTATTGGTTGACTCATGTTCATTTTAGATATCCAATTTTGCCAGCTGGAACTGCCAACTCTTCTACCTGTATATGAGTTCAGGGAGGGATTTTGAGTTTCGTGTAGCAGCATTTTTCTTTGAAACGTCTTCACAGTCACAGAGTTTAATAGGCTTACAGCCCTAGTCACTTCAGAGATTTTATTGTTAAAAAAATTTAAAAATGTTCCTCAGCCAATGCTTCTTTGAGTTTAGAAAGCTTAAAGTTTGGACTGTGCACTTCGGATTGCTTCATGTTGCCTTCATTTAAGATTTTGATGACCTGTAGCGTCTTTGGAACAACTCCTAAGGATATTGTAGACGCTCTCATCACCTGGGGGTCTTTCTAAATCACTGCCAGATTTTTCAAAAATATATACTGTAATCCAACGAGAAATCATGGGTCTCATAAAATCAATAGATCAGGTTCTACAGCTTGTGTTATGCATGGGTTCAAGCCTGCTGGTTGTCACAGCTTTTGCCTCTGTCTTAAAAAGACACAAATCTGTGAGTTGACCCAGATTTTCTTTCTGGGAATCTGCTCTTCTGTGCAATAGAAAGCCTGTAGTGTTCACGGTTGCCAGAGTACCAGGAATCTAAATTGTGTTAGGCAATGAGAAGCGGAAAAGCAGTTCCATTCCAGATTCCTTTAAACAGATGACAGGGGAATAACTTTTGCCATTCTGATGTACAGCAGAATAACTGAATTTAGCTGTTGCAAAACAGAGAGTTCACACTGCATGACTAAGTTTTAAAACTGACGTGCTACCTGTGATGCTCCCAGCAGACTTCATTCTCATCCTAAATACAAAGTGTTTTTTGCCTGTGTGACTGTAGAGAGCAGTGTCTACAACATTACTGAATGACTTGCAGTCTGAATGAACAAGGAGATAAAGGGTAAGAGAACTGGTCTGGGACTAGACCATACTGGAGCTCCTTCAAATCAGTTTTCTTCTGAATGGTGGTTTGTCTTTTTCTTCAAAATGGTATTTTGAGAAGTAAGGGTCTAAACATACCCTCTGCTTCAGAACTGCAGAAGACCTTAAATACAGAAGAACTCTCACAGTTCTTTAATTCATGGGAGTGTAGGAAGAAATGGGGCCATCCAAGGTGTCTTCTAACCAATATGTTCCCTCTTTTCACAGTACCGAACACGGAATAGTGCTGTACTGGGGGGTGAGCACTGCAGTGGTCAGACACTTGCTATTGCACCTCCCGCTTATGCAGGCTCAGGGGAGCACAAGGACGTCCCATAACCACCAAAGGCCAGCAGCTCTGCTAGGAGTAGCAGGCTGTGCAGCTACTGCAGTCTAGTCTGCACTAGATTTCTGGGCTAGCATTTCCCTCCTAGATCCCTCTTTATTAATCCTTAAGCCTTTTAATTAGGTCTTGTGTGGAAAGGAGTGGAAACTGGATAAAGAAGTCATTTAACTTTCTCTTCATCCAAGCCACTCTTAGCAGAATAATTTTCACCTTAAGCAGGAAGCTCTTTGAACCAGGCTATTATTCTACCATAAACTGTCTATAATCCTTCCACATGTACAACACTGTCTCCACACCTTTCAGTACAATTCTCACTAACATGTCTGTTGCCCTATTTTACCCAAAACCCACTGAAGTTGGTAGCTACCTTTGCAGTGGGCTTTGAATCTTGACCTTAGATAGACAGATGGACAGGTATTTGCATTACCACAAGCTCCTATAGACCTAATTACGTATTTATGTCCTACTTCTGTTATGGAAATGTTAATGTTATTGTGTTAATAAGTTTATTAGCTTGCTGGAATATGCATGCAGTATCCTCTGAAGTTTCCCCATAGAGCTTAATGGGACCGTTGGTTCTCGGAAGGACTGAAGAAAGCTACTTCTCAGTAGGTTACCTGTCACCTGGGTAAATGTAACTGGGAAAGTGAAAAAGAAGCATCCTATTATCAAGTCCTAGCACTTTATTTTGTAAAATACAGAATATTTTTTTAGAATTTCCAAGTTTTTAAAACTTTTTCTATTATGGGCTAATAGAATATTCTTTTCTGCGTGTTTTGCGATGCAAGTTTAGCTATCCTGGGTTACCGGTGATATGAGCTGAATCAATTGCTGGGTATGGGAATAGCTTCTTTGCTTTCATGGGCACTAATCAGTTTACATTAGCTGGAGTTTTGGACCATTATTTGTAAATTTTACATCTGGAAGACAAGATAGGTTTGCAGGTATAACTTCTATAATTTACTGATCATACAGACAATGTACAGGGTGTGTTCCTTCAAGTAGTGCATAAGAATGCAGGCTGTGATTTGGTTGCCTTTAACAGATCTGCCAAATACCAACCGGAGAAGCAAGAATTAACATGTTCACACCTCATTTTAGCTGCATTCAGGGATAAACAAAGGCCTTCACTCCATCCTCCACTGAAAACACACAGCAGGAGAAAATTCAGCCTGTGAAGGCACGCCCATTTCCAGTGAAATCTTCAGCAAATATTGATTCTAAATTTTTATTTTCCTTTAATACACATATGTTCAGGCTGTGAAACTGCACTAAGCAACTCTGGGAAAGTGTGTGCCTTCACCCACATTAATCACACAGACACGTATCTACTTGGATTACAGAAGAAAGTGACTCATCTAGTGATGACAATGGATAAAAGAAAGAGGGGAAAGAAGTCCCTAATTCTCATACCCCCTGCCTCTGTACATGATAAGGAGACACTTAAGGGAGTAATACATACACAGAGCTGGAAGAGAAGCTGTATGTCAGAGTCAGGTTTGCTATGGTGGGCAGTGAAGGTCATGTAATCCCTTCCAGAAACTGCTGAAGCTCTGCATTAAAACTAGTTTGGTGTCTGAGGGAGAGGGCTGCTTGGTGCCTTTACTCCTCTTGGGAAATGTACTTCTGCTAATTTACCTTATGTCAATGTGGTCTCCTCTCTCTTTAGAGTTTCCACATTGATCTAGGCACAGGAACATCCTATCCCCATACAGATTTTGTTTTGCTGGGTGAAAGAGGATAATTCTAAAATTGCCCCTGTGTTCAGTTAGGAACTTACTGATGGATTATTATGCTGCCAATAATTCACTAGTTGAGGTCCTCCACAGATCTATAATCAAGCACAATAAATTGTGGATATGTAGAGAAAGCATCCTCAGTAACTGTACTCCCATGGTAAAGTGGTTTCAATAAGGTGAATCCATTCACCTAAACAATACTAGGGAGTGGCACTTCAAAGATTTGAAAATATCACTAAATGGAAAAAAAATTACTGAGGAAACATGACAAATTTGCATTTTCTCTGGGACAAACGTAAGGCAGGTGATTTTGAGTCATAGTTTCAGCTTGGCAAAGGAAGCTGGTGCAGTAACTGTGGCCATCAGTGACAAAGGAGAGGGTATCTGTGTCCCCATGAGATGGCAACCTGAACCAGCAGTGCACACAGGGATGGATTCAAAATTTTTTCTTCCTGGAAGAAGTGGATCACAGATGCTTTAGTGAGAAGTAATTAATCCAAAGCATTGCCCCTCTGCTTTTGTTTCACAGAAGTTGATCTTAGTCTTTGTACAGTGGGAAAAAGATAAAGTTTCAGAATAATGTGCCAGGGTTTTCTGTCTCTTTTACATAGATGGATTTCCCCTTATATTTTGACTGCCTAGTCCTATTGCGAGGCTATTTTCACAGGCTCTTCCACATAGTCAGTCAAATCTATCTCTTTATTAAGCTGATTTATTTGTATTACACCAAGGATTATGCCCGATGCTAAGTGTTGGGAGCAATGCCTTTAGGAAAAATAGTCAGATCCTCAACAACTTGATTCCAGCACATGGGCTCATTCATTTCCCATTTGCCAGATTAAAGGCTTTGTTCTCACTGAAAGATGTCAGCTGTTTGGTTGCCTACTTAATTTTTTTCCCAATGAACTGTATACCCAAGTCCAGAACAGCCTCACTAAAAAAAAAAACGCAAAAGTGAGCACATGTAAGTATGAGAAATTAATTTCCTGTCCGTTATTAGAAGTAATCACTGGTGAGTAATACTTCTACGTCAGCAGACATGTCTGAAGAGAAATGTATTGCTACCATACGTGTTGAATCAGTGTGTTGCTATGTGACACCATCTTTTATGCGTATCAGTGCAAACACCTTGGGAAGAAAGACAGCTTGTTACTGTTCAGTTTGTGTCTCTCTCAATGGAACCATAGAGTAACACTTTATTATTGTAAGTGTTATTTTAATTTCAAATTAACTTGTGGTTTATAACGGTCTGTGTGATCTTTGCTAGCATTTCTTATGAAAATGAAAAATATTTTGGCTGTTGTTTATTCCTGTTGCTAAATAGTAATCTAGACCCATGTTATGTGAGGAATGTGAGAAGTTCTGCTGTGTGTACCTGTTTACAGACCTGCAATCTTACCCTTTGCATTTTTCTAACTGTATTAAAATTTTAGGTCACTGAATCAAAATAAAAGTGTACAAATCACCTCCTATCACCGGGTTCATTGCAAGATCCAAAGCTTACTGTGAAAGCTGTAACTCAGTTAGAAGACCTTTCATGACTGGCAGCATAGAAAGAATGCACCAGTTTGTTCTATTCATTATTCAGTCCCACTTGTAGATGATTTCCCATGTGCTCTGCAAAGCATGACAGCATTAATTGCAATCAGACATGCACCGAACATTAGTGAGTTTGGGGGAAGAAAAAAAACCCGACTACAGTGGACGCTTTGAGTCTCTGAAATAGTTGAAATAGTTCTTCATGCTGTGCTGAGCAGCAGGAGTATTCCCTCTCCCCAAATGAGCTTGTTCAAAGAGTGGAGAGAAAAAGGCTGTTTTTCCTTCCTTTCCAGCAGCATGTAGGAACAGTGTTCCTAGGAGGTGTTCAGAGGGAGTGGCGGGGAGAGCCGGGGGAGCGAGGGCCAAAAGCAGGCTGAGTAACAGGGACGTCACCTGGCTGGTTGCATCCTTTCTGCAACAAAGCGTGTCCGGCTTGCAGCTTCGTAGATGGACACACACAGGTAACTGCTGGATCCTAGCATCCAGCAATGTCTTAGTTTGCGTTTTTCCTTGGGCTATTGAAGACCTGGAAGTGTGAGGACAAGAGCTCGGTCATTACTTTGTCAGTAGACTGTAACTTGTCTGTGTTACAAGGCTTCAGACTTTAATATTCAAAGTGTTCCACGCCACACACCCATTGTTTCTACCTTATTTATTTACCTTATTTTCTGAGATAGTATCACACTAGGAGGTGTCCAACTTGCAGGGGGCTTAAAAATAGTTTTGATTTTTTGGTAAGGAAAAATCCTGTTACTGGCTCTATTTTTTTTTTTAACTTGGTGATAGAAATACAGGTCATAATAGGTGTGTGTTGAAAATACTTTGAGATTAAACAGAACAAGTGAAATTTAGTGAAAGATAAATGCAGGAGACAGGGAAGCTGATGCAAGTGATTGTCATTCAGTCAGACTGAGAAAAAGCATTCCTGGACTGGGGGAGAACTGCTTCACCTCTTGTCCCTTGCAAACCGCAGCTACCTGAGGTTAAGCATCTTCTACTTTTCAAGTTAGCATCTTCTGCTTTTCCACATCTTCCTGGTTGGGCTATAAGTAAGACGCAGTCTTATGTCAGGAGTTCCCATAAATATGAATAAGAAGCTACCGAGAAGCCACAGTTATTTTAACATTACCTCCAACAGCAAATGAGCCCAAAATATCCATTCTTAGGGGAAGCAGGACTGCCCTCTGAGCCGCTCAGTTACCAATGCCAGTGTGGACTCCTTCATTTGAAGCATCACAATTGCAGCAGTGATTATTAGTTTCATGGCACCATGACCAGAAACAATTAATTTCTCACCTTTAAAAGAAACTGATGCACCTACTTATATCTCTATTTCCCACCTATCACTAGCAAGGAAATGGATCTGGTGAGTTGTGCTGTCTCTGTTAAGGCAGTCTGGCTGTTGTCCACCTCTCTGCAGCTTATCCAGAAGCTCCTGAGCCATTTCACAGTGACTGTACTTGGTAGACCTGGGTCTGAAGAAAAGTTTGCTCCTGCAGAGACATCAGTGTTTGGCTACAGATTGCCTGCAGACACCTGAGAAGAGACTGGCAGCCAATATTGTTGTGGATTTTCATCAAAATTTCTCTTACAGAAGGCATAATTAGATACATAACAATGATGGCCCAGATGGCACAGTTTAGCCAGCTGACCTCTATCTTACTTTAATTGCTTAAACACATCCACACCCTGTCTTTGTTATGAATTCACTTATGGCAAAGCATACAAATTTTAAATTTGCTGCCTGGTAATGACGGAAAGTGAACCCCATCTGCATCACAGCAGAAAGTAAAATATAGTTTCCTTTGGGTAATAAGAGCTTAGGAGCCTTTTGGAAGGAAACAGGATTAGGGCACCGCAGTATGGCGTGATTTGTGCTCAAAGCAATACAGGAACGTGTCTTTCCAGGAGGAGATAACAGGTCCCCAGTTCCCACTGTCACCAATGAGGCACCGTCCTGGTGAACACACATCCTTTGGTTTCCTAACCCTTTCATTTGGGCAGCTGGGCATGCCAGCACTGCAAACCTGAAAGCAAACTCAATTATCTCGCATTTATCTTTCGTAGCCTAAAAGTACGCAGGGCCACCTGGGTTAGTGAGGTGTGAACCTGAGCTGTGCCTGTGGCGTGGCACAGTTCCTCATGGGGACTGAGGTGTAGCCATGGCCTCCCAGGGAGTGCTTGCAGGTGTTCCCCGCTGCGGGTGGCCCGGCTGCCCGACTGGGGAATGGCATGGAGCAGGGGTAGTCCATCTCTTCCTTGCTAAGGACTGCGTACGTCTTTCAAATAAAAATGGACCTGGTGGGCTGCCCCATCACCTCTCCCTCTCACTTTCTTCTCCCACCCCGTCGTGTTCACCAGTAGTAGCGTGGACTGTATGACATGAACCCAGTGGTCCCGGTCCTGGAGGAGAAGGGATGGGACTTTCTGTTCCCCTCCCGCCTCTGGGGACAGCTAGCAGCAGGGAAGGCTGCTCCCCTGCAGAGGACCTGGCTGCCGATGGGAGGAAGCTCTTGCTTTATAGCAACAAGAAGGGCAGATATTTTTCCTTGAGCGTTAACTCCAGCCTGGCCTTGGGCTTTTAAGGCAACCACATACACACATATGCCCCTTACAAAGACAGAGCTAAGACACAGTCTTAATGCATATACAGATGCAAAGTGCCCAGCCACGCGCTCCTACGCGTTTTGGTTGTCTTCCTGGGCATCTTTTTCACAATTACAGTTTTTCTGCAAATAGCGGCAATTCCAATGCAACTTGGAGTGCTGGTTTTGCTCAGAAGGTCTTTTAATTGCTTATGCACTCCTGCATTCTCTCCTTCGTAGTCTTCGTTCATTCTTGCCTGGTGCCTTTTGTACTGCGCTTGCTGAAGGCAATGCACAAAGGCTGCTCTTTCCTGCCGGAGCTTGTTGTTGTCTTTAGTAGCTGGGCAGGCAACAACAGCTCTGGTGTGAATCATTTTGCTCCTCCAATGTAGGAGTTGCCCACGAAGAATGATTAAGAGGGGAAAAAAAAAAAAAAGAAAGCAAGAGTGAGAGGGAGTGTGTGTGTGCACAAATTAAGGTTGGGAAAGAGGGAGTGGTGTCAATGAGCAGGGAAGCTAACAGAGTCTGCTGCTCGGCAAGGTTTCACCGCGGGTAGCTAGTTCTTCGCACTGTACCCATTTCATTGATTCGTTTACCAGGATTATAGCCTTGCAAAGTAAGTACAGCTTTTTTTTTTTTCCTCTGATAGTTTAATAAATACCTAACTAATAGTTAACAAATCTCCGCTGTGAAATGTAATCACGTAGAGGGAGTGGGATAAGGAAATTTGTACAAAAAGGTATTGCATGGAATTAGAGGAGCAAAAAAGCCTTACCAAACTACAACGTTTTGGTTTCACCCCAAAATTACTGCTTTTGCTATGCTATATTTCTCCCCCCCCGAAAAGATTCACTGGAAGCAGTGAGAAGGATCTGGCAGGTGAGACAGCAAGGGCATTAGGAATTATTAAAATATGGTGGTTTATTGCAAATAGCTTTCCCCGTATCAGAGAAAGCAGGTTGTGTTCGATGCTGTAAAAATGCTCCATGTGTCAAAGTAGGATTTAGGCTGTTTTGTAAGTCTCTGTTACAGAGGAATATTCCTCTCATTTTCTGCAGAGGTGTGTGTGCTCTGCTCTGCTTTGAGTTGTTAATCAAGTGACTAATCCACACTTGTTTAAAGTGAAGGGCAGGAACTGAGGTCCAGTTAATTACTAATTTATTTTCAGTGTGACCATTTAGTTTGAAGAATTCACTGGCTATTGAGGTACACAAAGCATATTGCGGTGGGTCGTTTCTCTCTTTCCTTCCTGGAGTGACTTTCCCTGCTATATTGCTGACAATGCTTTTTCCCTAACCATACGAGACGCTCTGGTCCCACATTAGTCTGATGTCTTGCATTCCTCAAAGAAATGTCTGTTCAGAGGAAATTGTGTCCTTGTTGCATAGCCAGGTAGTCTGCCAGGTGGAGACTTGTCATTTGTGTACAAGTAAGAAGAAAAGGCTCACGGAAGTGTTTTTATTTCCTTTATGTGTTGTGTTCACCGAGTAAGAGCTGAAGTGGGGTCATGTTAAATGCTTGAGCTAGTTTCAAATATTAATGCCTCACTCGTGAAACATGCGTGTGAGTTGTTTCATATCATTTATCCTCTCAGTGCAAGTTTGTTTGAACTGGAGAGACTACAGCGCTGGCACTCACAGCTCCCGAGCTGTAAACCCAGTACATCCCCCCAGCACTGGATGGCCAGCACTGTCCATACTTTATCTGCTACAGGGGTCTTCTCCTGGAAGGACTGCTTAACTGAGAAAGGAATAAAACAAATACTTGTTCTGCTTTATCAGATTATCCCTACCGTATAGCTAACTTGATTTGTCAGCCATTTCCACACAGACGTTGCTATTCTCCTGATTATATTCGTAGAAGATAAGCTATATTTAGCTTTTGTCTTAGTAAGCAGATACTAAACAAATCCTCTCTGTTGTTTTTTTGTTTGTTTGTTTTGTTGTTGTTGTTGCATTCAAGAGTGACTAAGCAAAAATGGTGTCTTACACCAATAAACAAGTTTAAATCAGGATTTTCTGAACTGGGTCAGTAGCCCTTCAGCTCCCTTCTGAATCTGAAAGTGTTTCTATAATGCTGTGGCAGAGTCACAGTTTTAAGCAAAGCTGGGTGGATCACAAGCTACCTGTGCTTAGAAGATGCCCCAGTGCCGCGGGCCGCTCTAGAAATGCTGACGTACCGCTTTCCCGGGAAAGGAGGCACTCAGCAAGAATCCATGCAGCCGGCCTTCTTAAAATTTCATTTTCAATTTTTTGACTCCTCCCTGTTTGAGGGTTCCCTGTGATTACTCACTCAGGAGCTGCGTCTGATTTCTAAGTCTGCTAATGGGCTTTCCTCTTGATGGGAGCTTCTACCCTTCTCACTTGACTGGAACTGGCTTTAATGGATTCAGAAGGCTTGGGACAATCAAGGCTTTAATGAGATTTAAGATTTTGTAATATTTAATACGGTAAATGCTTTTCAGGAATATCAATGTCATGAACCCTAAATATCACACATCAATAAATGGAGCATAAAAAACTGACTGACCAGGTGCAGTTGAAAAAGATGGTGGGATAGAGATTATGCTTCGCTATCCATCCCATCATTCAAGGTTAAGGGAGAAACTGAGCTTTTGTCCCAACAAAATGCCCCGAATGGGCGTTATTTCAATAGTAGCACTAAAAGAAAGAAATTATAAGAATGGAGAGCTTTACCACTACCAGAAATAGTTTCACTCAGCACAAAAGATTCTCTGAGAGTATCAGCAGTTACTGGATGAACAAAAGGTAAATAAAAGGATCACCATGAAATACCTCCCATTTTCCTCACTGAAAAGGAACATCCAAACTTTTTAGAAAGTGATGCAACATGAACAGTATCAGAATTACCAGTGAGGTCAGAAAAGAAGAGTTCTTAAGCCATGGTACAGCTTTTCACTGGCATAAGGAAGAAGAGTTGCATTCAATTTTGCAAAATTTCCTATTTTATTTTCTTACTCTGAATCTCTTGCAACCCAAGAAAGTGAAACACAGGTAGCGCATACACATCTTAAAATCACTTTAGGTTTGCCAATATAACTGAAAATACTAATGTTAGAATTACAGCATAGCATTTGCAATATTAAGCCAGAAAGGAACAAGAAGTATTTTTTAGTGGTTATGATTGCGTATTGATTTTTAGTCTGTAAGGAAGATCCAGTGGCCTAAATAGAATAATATCAGGCCAGACAGCACTAAAGAATTGTGTTCTACCCCACTAGCAAATAAGATTTTTTCGGGTAAACTGCATGCCTCATTCTGCATTGTGAGATTCTTCATACTGTTTGTCTTCTTGAGGGTGGTAGATGTCGAGTGACACATTCTTGGTTCCCTGGGTATTTTTCCACCAGCTTCTCAGTAAGAAATACCTGGGAAGTTGATACTTGCCCCAGATCTTCAAATTTTAGCTGGGGAGGGCGGGGGCAGAGAGAGAGAGAGGGAGAAGGAGACAAAGTATATGTATACATATGTATTGTGTGTTCATGTGTGAATGGTTGAGGTAATGGGGAAGATAAGATAAGTAGCCTAAGGTATTTAAGACATGCATAGGCACAAAGGTGCACGTCTGGGATGGGCAGAGAGTCGTTTTGCTCCTTTGCCCCTGTTGTTCCAAGTTACTCCCTCATCAGCAGTCTCAGTCCTTCAAATTTGTTTAACTGTCTTTTGCCACTGTTCTGCCCAAAGCTCTCCTCCTTTAAGGTGTGTGCTGAGCCCATGGTTTCCGGCAAGATTGACTTCTCTGGTAATTAGTTGCTTTCATGCATGAGAAATCGTGGCCGTGTAAATGAGATAGATGGTTGCAGTGCTGGGCTGGTGCTTCGTTCTCCCTTTACATCCCAAGATCTCTGAGATGTGTTTCCTGAACCTCACTCTGACATCAGCTGGACGCCTGCTGACACTGGGAAATGGGTGCTCACATGGATAATCTCTCTTTACCGAGCAGCTGCTGGGCACTGCCAGGCTACTGGAAGCTGGACAGGTCCAGCCAGACCCATTCTGAATTCGGAGTTCTGGCAAAACCTCTAGATGTTGCGAAGCATACTCCTCTATATTTTTCTGTGAGGATAACTTTCTTCAGTGATATATGTTTAGTGTTTCCCCTCTTCAAGACAAATTCCTCTTTTTTTTTTTTTTTTTTTTTTCAGTGGGAGGGGATTTGTTAGCAAACAGTTTGTTGCTAATACCAACAGTCAGAGCATTTCGCAAGAGTGCAGTGCTGGTTAGGTGTGCTTTTCAAACATGGATTTAAAAAGCCTTGGGTTTATGCCAGTATCTTTTTTTTTTTTTTACTTAATTAGATTGTGAAATGCATTTCAGTAACCTTTAATACAGCAAATACAGCATCTTTTACCTCAAAACAAACCAGTTGCCAAATAAACCTGTTGCTTTAACAGATAGATCCAAGACCATGTATAGGTTAATTAAAATAAAAATAAAGACATTTATTTTGTAAAAGGCCTTCTCTAATCAAACAGGCCTTATGAGTAAATCAAAGTGTTTTCTTTACTGTGTCACAGGCAAATTACACACCCATTCTGTTACTCCCGTAAAAATGTATAAATACCACAGATTATTTGGAAGTCATTCACTACTGTCAAGTACCACAACTGCTCCACAGCTTCTGTGTACAATGGTGTCAGACGTTCAGCTAAGTTTGGGCAGTATGACGCATACATTCAAATAGGAGAGTGTTCTAATTCAAAACACCTTTCCAAACCAGGATGAGAGTGAACAGTCAAGAAAGGTACCTTGCTGGAGACAGTTCCCTGCCCATAGGTTCCCTCTTCCCCTTTCTGCCTTCTTGTACCTTTCTGCTTTCACCCCGTGAGATCTTTCCAGGCTAGGATGCGAATGATATGAACTAGGTAAGTAAATGTTTGAGACTGCAGTGTCAAGTAATCAGTTACTGGAGAGAAATCATTGTCCTTAAGGTGTTTCTCAAAGGTTAGTAAACCTCCTACCAATGAAAGAAATAATTGACTTTCCTTTCCATAATAGGATAAAATAGGACCCTACATCTTCAGTGTCAGAGCCTGAAATGCAAATGTAGATAGGTGTGCATCTGGATAAGAACACACTTTTTAAGATGACCCCTCCACACCATCTTTATTCCACTATTTTGCCAGTTTTCCTGAAGAGAGCAAATACTGGAGACACCTTTTAAGTTCTGTGTGAAATCTTATGCCTTTTGAAGGCTTTCCCAATATTTATCTTTTCCATTTCCTTTCTGTCTCTGTCAATAGCTTTGGTGGAGCTGTTTAACACCATTTTTAATAGATTGCCCTTTTTTTAGGGATACATGATATTGGGGTGCAGAGTAGTGTCAAATTCAGTATGCCAAAGGGGTCATCTTCTGTGTGCTTGCTGGTCTAAAGCCAGACTTGTGCTATTGACTGAAATTCTGTGGTTCACCTTTGTTAGCTTGAATCTCTACAAACGTGCTTATACCAAAGTGCAATTTCAGGTATGTGAAAGCAGTCTGGAAGATGGGAATACTCTCCGGCTTTCCCAGAGCACGGACTGCAGCAACTGTCCCTTGGGCACCACCCTTCCCATTCCTGACTGCAGAGATCCTCTAGCAGCCCTGTGGCAATTGCAGTTATTAAGAATGGCTAGAAAATATTTGCAGCTAAAACAGTGTAAGTGATGAGTGGGCACGCAGCAGGATTTATTTAGGAGGCTTCCTTTAAGTTTCAAGAACAATCTCAACCTACAGGACCAGACAGCTTTCTGGAGACTTCTAGCAAGGCTAGGAAGAATGGAGAATCATCCCTTAGAGGAAGGACATGTACCAAAGCTAAAGCTTCAGTCAACAATTAGCCATGAAGCAAGAGACAGGAAAGATTAGGAGACTATTAAAGGCCTGTCTGAGAGCCAGGAGAGCCCAGAGCATAGGCAAAGTACCTTTTAAGTTGGCACATTTTAAGAGTGTCAATTAAAAAGAGATTAAATTCATATGTGATCCAATTTGACTCAATATGAATGGGTCACCCTGACCTACCCAGATTTCCCCAAGTGCTTCTGGTAATACTGGCTCCATGTAACACGTGGCATTGCCAGCTGTCACCTGAAGATGATGGCTGTTACTGAACCACTCGCATTTCCTTGGCTGGGCATGGATGAGACCTTCCCTGCTCCTCAGGAGCTGCCAGTGTGCTCTGAAGCTGCGTGGGCTCAGCCAGCCCCTCCTCTCCTCTCCCTGAACGTTCAAGCTGCCCAGTCCCCATACTGGTGTCCAGCCTCCTTCAGTGCTCTTGACCCAGCCCCACCACAGCAGGAGCTAGGATTACACTCTGAGGCATCTCTCTTTTCCCTTTTCTGTTTCAGGATGACAATGGATGCTTTGCAACTAGCGAACACTGCCTTTGCAGTTGATATATTCAAAAAACTGTGCGAGAAGGACAAAACAGCCAATATTATTTTTGCCCCACTGTGTACCTCAACGTCTCTGGCTCTGGCATATAAAGCGACGAAAGGTGATACTGCAGATCAAATGAAACAGGTAAGCTGTCAGCATCCTGTTCTGTGGCTGCAAAATTATATGGCTGTCGGAGGTGGGTTTCTTATTTATTCTTGTTAATATTCTACTGGATGTCTGGTTCCCTTGTAAGCCAGGCTGCAAACTTTCCCTCTGAAATTCCTGAACGGTTCCACACTCCATGGCCCCACACAGCAAAAGAGGTTGAAAATCTGGCTTAAAGAAAAAGCTTTCTCAAGCTTGTACACAGTGGAAGGGGACATGGCAGAGTCCTCAGCAGTTGCATTAAAGCCTTGTCTCCTTTTAGCGTAGTGTTGATTGTGGCTGCAAGTCAAAGTCAAGATCACTGCATTTTCTGGGTAATGTTTTTTCATTATTCAAGAATGCCTAAACTTTATAGGACTGGAAATAATTTTGCCATTATCTGTCAGCAGCAAGTATGCTTAGCAGCCTGTCGCTGACATTTCTGCTTTCTCCTGCAATACCACTAAGAGGAAGCGGGTGCAGTAGAAGAGGGCACAACTTCAACCGTGTTTCTTCTTAGAAGCAGCTCATCGTGTTCAAGGGGTTTCCAACACCGTGATGCAGCATGGCAGTTACGATGCAATCAGTTTATCAAGCTCACTCTGTGGTGCAGGGAGGCAGCCTCGCAGCCTCTTCTGCTGCCTCCGTGTAAGCAGAGACCTGTGTAGTTCCTTTGTGTCCCACGGAGGGTGCCCACAGTTTCTGCAGTTATCTAAAGGTGGATGAGAAGCAAATTCAGTATGCATTTATATGCTGATTATCACCTAGCTCTGAGGGACACTCTACATATTTGAACATATTTTCTGTCCTTTGGGAATTCTTCCCTGTACTTCCTCATTCACTGAAGGGTCCCCCCGAGTGCAGCCTCCTGTGCCACAACTCATGCCACAGATTACAATGAGTCTCATGCTATTTGCAGAGCTGCGCAGCAATATATCCATTAAGATCTTCTAGGCATTGCAGATTTTTCCAAACAGCATTGTTTTAAAAAAAAATTTAAAAATTAACTCTAGATTTTTTTTTATTTAAATGACACCCTGCAGCTTCCTCACTATTTCAAAATTCAAGCGTTGTCTTTCTAATGGGAGAGTTCAAAATATTAACCTGCCCTTAATTTTGCTTTCACTTGTGTCTGCAATTTGCTTTGAACCATCCCATAATAAGTTAACGTACACATCCACAAATGGAGCTCTGTTACATAAGCGTGCTTATATTTCATATTTCTCAAGTGGTATATAAAAAGTGCTGACTACAGATACTAAGGAGAACTTGGTATGTTCTTAAATGTAATATCTCCTGTCTGCCCCTGAGTTCGTGCTTGGGTTTTAAATACTAGGTACAAAAGGAGCCAGATCAGCAGGCTTACTCTGGAATATCAGTTAACAAACCTATGCCAAAAGCTTTCCCAGGTAGAAAAGCTGCAGTAGCATAGCTTCCTCCCCAAACATAATTTCCAGGCACAGAATCTTTCTGCACTTAACATGCTAAGAAATAAAAGTATTGGAGGAAAAGGAAATGAAGTTGAGAAGAGGAGTTTGGCTATGAGAGCTCTCCGGGTGCTCTGTCCTTGGGAGTTTATTTCCTTCTGCTCCCACTGAGCAAGGAGAGGGGAGGAGACGGGGGGGGGTGGCTAAGGCAGAGCAGCAATTTGTTGTGTCTGTGAAGATACGATGTGTTCAGGGAGAAAGAGCAGGAGCGAGGGACAAGAGGAAAAGGTCACTAGTGCCCGCTATGCCTCATGCGGGAATTTGAGACGGGAGGAGAGTTGGACAGGCTGCCTGTAATGAAACAGCCACCATCAAAGACCCTGTAATAAGCAGGCATTAGAAGTTCAATTCATATTTACAGGGTTATTTTCAAACAAACCCAGCAGTAACCTCTCGCCTCTGGTGCCTAAAAGCAGCGAGTTTTAGGTCACCCCAGCACTTTCTGGAACTTGTCATTCCCAGGAGCTGGGAGGTGGCCGTGTGTGGATCAGCAGCCTTACCTCCAGCTCATACTTTGTCTACGAAAAGACATAGTTATCTGATCAATTTTTGCTGAAATATCATGTGATGTCATGTATCAGTCACAGCAATCAGAAAACTTGATGATCTGTTAAGCATTTTTAAAGGTGTAGCCCACTTCTAGAAAGGAGACTAGCTGGGACCCTCATTTATCTGGCTTAAAAGCTCCAGGTTTTTGGACAAGAATGTAAGTTAGTGAAAACATGATGACTCCATACTACAGAGTTTTAATCAACTAAGCCATATCACCAGCATGAACAGCTCTATTGATTTCTTTGGACTGCTCACAGGAAAGAAATGCTTTTGGTTAAAGTTCTGGTAGGATCAGGTTTTTACGTTTATATAAGGATGTCAAATAAATAAATAAATGTTGAGTAACAACAGCAAGAGGCTGTGTTGTTAAATACGAAAAGCCACAGCTCTGACACAAACTAGCATTATTTTTTGCTAAGCTGTTAGGAATGTTTAGATAATAATAATAAAAAAAGATGCTTAGTATTTTATTACGTTCATTTAACAGGTACTCCATTTGCAAGATGTCAAAGATGTTTCTTTTGGGTTTCAAACAGTAACTTCAGATGTTTCCAAACTCAGCTCTTTTTTTGCACTGAAAATGGTCAAACGGCTCTTTGTAGACAAGTCTCTTAATCCTACCACAGTAAGTACTGCAGAAAAGCCCTGGTGCTATGAATTGCTTGGCCAGCATGTTGACGGGTTATAGTGTCACACTGGAATGTTATTTAAAATAAATTCTCTCACTTTTGGCTGTTACTTGACTAGACTCAGATGATGAACAACATAATTCTCTGCTGCCATAAAAGTTTGTAGGAGGATGGATGAGTGTGTTGCTTGACCGCAAGCTATGCAACTATTACAACACTTCTAATTCTTTCATTAATATGCTTTAGGTCAGTAGCTCAGTAGGTTTTGAATGCAACATAACTTCTATGCCACATCAAGGTCTTTCTATTGTAAGCATGAGGAAAAAGGAGTTTTGAAAACAGTTGGCGGTGCATGTATGTGTCCAGTTCACACACCCAAGTAATTACTGCATACGCTGTAGTTTTCTTAAGCTGTCTGAGGAGGCAGAAGCCTGGCTATTGAAACAACACAAGTAAGGAAGGCGGTATTTGGCCTTATAACTTATGGACCTTGCAAATAACTGAGAAAAATGTTGTGGGTTCTCCCCCTCTGAAGTTGCCTTTGAATAGGGCCCCAAGCAAGGACAACATCAGCCTAAAGGTGATGTTTCAGAAAACTTAACATGCTTAAATGATGCTATAGTTAGATTGCCTGCTGTTCAGCCTTTGCTACAGCAAAGGCCAATACCCATCCACAGCAATAAATGTCTCATCTGGTGAGGACAGACATGATGTGAGCAGCCTGTGGCCTTTATTTCAGTCCTCTCTCCCACCCAGGGCTGGACTGGGAATAGTTTTATCCTTTCAAACTCTGGCAATGTGGCCACCCCTGCAATACCAAAGTTACTTTAGCTGCTGATGTAACACCACTGGACTGAAGACAACCTTGGGAGCGATGTGCCGAATGCAGCTGTGCATCGTAATAAACTCCCTAACTAACCTGTGGTGAAGCTCAGGATGCTGATGCTGCAGGGTCTGTAAAGAGCCATTGAGTGGCTGGCATTTAACCAAGGATGACTTTGGTACCTTGTGTCTTTCAGGACTTTGTCAACTCCACAAAGAGGCCTTTTCCATCTGAACTGGAACTAGTGGAGTTCAAAGCAAAAACCGAGGAAACCCGACAGAAGATCAACAAGTCTCTTTCAGAGCTAACTGATGGTGAGTACAGCTTAACCTTGGGGATGCTGTTTGCCTCTTTGGAGAAAGAGACCTTTGTCCTTGTGACACCTCTTATAGTAATGCTTTTAGAAGTAAATACATAGTGAAAGCAAGGGGACTAGACCTACTATTTGGATTCATGAGGATTAGCAACGTCAGCCTGTTTTGAAATCACTAACTTTACTACTGCAGCATTTCTGAAGGTGGAAATGTGAGACTGACCTTGCATTAGCCTTGGGGAAAGCTGCTCACATTTGACTGCAGCGGGACAGTTTGGGAGAATGACAGTTCCTGGCTGTGGACCTTCACAAACTTCTGACATCAATGCATCTAACCCAAGCCCTGGATTCCTTGAAAAGTTTTATTGTAATGGGAAGTACTTGCTGGACTCTGAATTTCAGGCTGTTAATTAATAGCTCAGCTTCGCTCAGTTCAGCTGCTTTTGCCAGCAAGGCTGCCACAAGCAGATGAGTGTCTCTTGTGTGCCTTCCTGTGGAAATGGGGCTGCAGGGACTTCTCCTCCAGTACCACTAAGCCAGGTCACAGGAGATGCACACCAGTGACCGTGAGGGTCCCCAGGCAGAGCCTGCCCAGTCTGGGGGGGGCAGAGGTCCAGCCCTGGCCCACACGAGCACGCAGCACCCTAACAGAGCCTGTTTGCAGCCTGGGCAGAGGTAGCTCTGGGGTCGGTTGCTGCCTGTTGCCCTCATCTGGTACAAATATGAAAAGATGGGTGCATGAGTCTGGTCCTTCCCAGGCTGGCACAGGTGCCCATGTGGAAGCACCTTGCCCTGCCTGTGCAATTCGTGCATGAAGGCAGGACTTGCCTCCCCAGTGCTCTGAATTCACTTTTATGGCAGTGCTTGAACAGGTCTGAAACAGAGCAAGGGTGGGCACGACACTTCCATATTCTTTTTGAAGACTCTAGCAGTATTTGGTTATGGACTGTAATCAGAGCAGAATTTTTTATTATTCTGGTTATTTTGTTCTCATGTATCTGTCTAGAAATGAGTAGCTGCTAATCTGGAACTTCCCTTCAAGTCTTGCTCTCCATATGACAAGTGCTTTTTTGCTTACACCTGTTGAATTTCACTGAAAATTCAATACCTTCTTTAAGGTCCTGAACAAAAGCAGTAGGCATATTTTTGATTCCATGCTATATAAGCCAAGAAAACATGTAATTTGGAAGATCTGCCTTGATCCCAAATCCTATTTCAAACAGTAAGCTGCAATTTTAAGTAAGTACTTCTTTTTGGAATTTGCCATTAGAATTAAAATCTTTTATCTGTGAGGGGCAAGACAGAAATTTTTTAATTCAGTGAAATGTTTCCATGTTCAGTTGAAACAATTGATATACTGATAATATATTTTTGTATTAACAACCATCTTAAACCTGTTCACAGGCAAAATGGAGAATATTTTGAATGAAGATAGTGTAAATGACCAGACTCAGATCCTCCTAGTTAATGCAGCTTATTTTGTCACAAACTGGATGAAGAAGTTCCCAGAGGCAGAGATCAAAGAATGTCCTTTTAAAGTCAACAAGGTATGTTCTGGAAAAAAAAAACCAACCAAAAACAAGAGTGCTGTTTCCACTCAAGAAAATGCAAACTTTGAGCTAAGGAAATCCCAACAGGAGAAAATGAGAAATATTTATTATTACCTTGGCATTCTTAGACTCTATCTAAACCTATATACTGTTGCAAGGGTCCCTAAACCAGTTTGCTTGTCAAGTTGTTTTAAAACTTTGCCGGTGCTTTCACATCCATCTTTCAAAGGCTCAGCGTGAAAACAGACTGTCCTGTTAGTGTATTTAGACAATGGGAGCTGAGTACAAGTGATCAGAAGCAGCCATTGCCTACAAGGAGATGCACAGTCTCACAGCTAGCTTCTTCCAAGAGACTGCAGCCTGTACAGAGGCTGCCTCCCAAAACCAGCAGGGGTGAAGCACAAAACATTGCATTTCTCGTGGTCACAGAGCTAATGAAACATCTACACCCGTGGGGTCTCTTTGAGGATTCCCCTTAGGTGCCTGGCCCTGAGCTTTCCTCTCCAGGGATGGTGCCCCACGAATCTCCCTCTTTCCAGTGAGGCTCAGGACTGCAGCCCTCTGCGTATCAGCCCTGCTTAGCCACGAGGTCCAAGTGGGTGCAGCCCCTGTGGCTGTTGCCTTCAGGAATCTGTGACCAGTGATGAATGTTGTGATCAGACAGTCAGCTTTGAACCAAGGTATAAAGCTGGGCAACATTTGCGAGATAAAGAGATTATACTCCAAATATATACATACATACATACATATATATATATGTGCGTGAGAAAAGTTGGAGTTTCAAGTTCACTGAAAATATTCATAAATTACCACATCAGCCAAGAGTTTCAGCTTAAAAAGTTTTTAAAATTATACAATCAACACTAACATTTTTAAGTGAAACTTCTCAAGTTTTTTTTTCTAAAGTAACATTTTTCTACTGAATTTGAATTTTGAATGAGTTTCCAGGTGAACAGAACAGTTTGTAAATCTTCCCTATGAAATAAAGAGTTTTGTTTTGTTTTGTTTCATTCATGAAAAGCAAAGACATAGGGCTTTAGGTAAGCCTGAAATTTCTTCTTCTTCTGTTTCAGCTCCTGAACCAAAATATCAATTATTTGTATGAACAGCTTGACTTTCACTGTTGAGATGTTCTCAGTGCTTAACACTTACTGGCAATTACCCTGTAGACAGTACAGTTTGTAGCACTCAGTGAAACAGGCACAAAGGGCCACCGATATTAGGTAAATTTCTCTTTTAAGGCACATCCCCAATATGTTGCTATTGTATTAAGTAGAATTCTGTTCCACTTTTCTTTGGAAAGCTGCCTACTGTAAAAAGCCAACAGGGTCTCTTACAGCTGGTTTCATTACCTATGAAAGCCAACAAATTCTCTGATGGTAACTCAAGGTACCACTTCCATGCAAGCTTACAAACTTCCCTCTCTCACCATCTTATTTGTGAATTAAAAGGAATGCTAGATTGTTTCCTCTGTGTTTTGCAGACTGAAACTAAACCAGTGCAAATGATGAATCTGGAAGCTACTTTTTGCCTGGGCTATGTAAAAGAATTAAATGTGGCCATCCTCGAGCTTCCATGCCTTAACAAACATATCAGCATGCTCATTCTGCTGCCCAAAGAGATTGAAGATGAGACCACTGGCTTGGAGAAGGTGAGAGAAAAAAATAGAATTAGCATGATGCTTCCCTTGGAAACAGCCCACTTCTAATGCCATATGCTTATGGAAGGTTTTTCTTATTTAGACGCTATATAGAAGTTCCCTGTAAGTAAGTTTCCTGTGAATTTACCTTCTCATTCTGCTCCTCTGTTCCTGATCTCATATTTGTGACATCATTATTTCCACTGTGGCCAAGTGTGAGGTTGTGAACAAGACTTTGTTTTAGATAGGTTGTGCACAGAAGACAGTGTAAAGTGCAGAAGGTGCCCATGATGCGCTCTAGGAATCTGCATCAATTTGAAAATGTGGACCCCCAAAATAATTTTCGTCTTAAGATTTCTGTTCTTGCTGTAGTAAAGTGCTTAAAGTCATACTTACTGGGTACTCAGTAATGCTGACATTATTTACTCTAGTGTCCTCATTTTTTTTCAGTTGACATGTACCTGTGATTTATTTTACTAAGGTCTTACACTTCTCTAGGTTTTAATTTTGAGCAGAGGTGCCTGAAAATGAGCCATTTTTTATTACAATTGCACATAAATTTGAAAATTAATAAGGCATTTCCTAAAGAACACCCATTTCTTATGTCATTTCTCTATGAAAATTTTAGAACATATTTTCACCTCTCTTCAAAGTTTGAGGATTAGGAGACAGATGATCACACAAGTCTCTTTTGTAATTTGCTGCAACTGGTCATAAATTTTAAAGGCAGGAAGAATCTGCCTTTGCAGCTGTAAGGTACTTTTATATGTAGGAGTAAATTACAGAACACATATATCTTAAAATGCAAGTGAGGCCTTTCCCGATATCAGTTCGTTGTGGCCCCAAATTCTGCCTCGTCACTTCCCAGTTTTTTAAAAATTGCTCAAACAGCTGCCTGTTTGATTGAGATCAGGCTCTGGATTTGGAGTCTTTTTCTGTCCCAAATACCAGCAATTTCATTGCTCTGTAAGGTCAGAAATCAAGACTTTTGGCTCTGCCAGTTGGCTGGGTGTAACCTGGGTAGGGACTGCCTTTCTCCGGTTCCTTCATATGGTTGTTGAGGTGATTTGCCTATCAAAAGCTTGTAAGGGACTAATAGTCAGAGCATGTACATACAGTGGAGTTGCTCCAGAGGCCTGTCCTATGGATTAAATCATACTTGCATCAATATAGCTCAGAGTATGTTAACCCTGAATGCTACAGTTGTCAATTCAAAAGCAAAGGTTGCCTTTTGGACTTTATTCTGGGGGGGGCTTGATAGGATTGGGAAGTTCAGGAATGGTCTTTTTTTTTTTTATTTTCTTTCCTTGGACTGCTCATTAATTTCCTTTGTTCCTTTATGTCTTCAGCTGGAAAAGGCACTCACCCCTGAGACATTATTACAGTGGACCAATCCCAGCATGATGGCCAACACCAAAGTGAATGTATTTCTTCCAAAGTTTAGTGTGGAAGGTGATTATGACCTGAAGCCTCTTCTGGAAAGCCTGGGAATGACAAACGTCTTCAATGAGAGTGCATCAGATTTCTCTGAGATGTGTGAGACAAAAGGTGTGGTTTTGTCAAAGATCATCCATAAAGTCTCTTTGGAAGTAAATGAACAAGGTGGCGAGTCCCGAGAGGTACCAGGATATCGGATTCTGCAACACAAAGATGAATTTAAAGCTGACCATCCATTTATATTTTTGTTTAGGCACAACAAAACTCGCAACGTGATTCTTTCAGGCCGATTCTGTTCCCCTTAAGCAGGGTGTATTCATTATGAAAAAGCACAATTACATCCATGGTGGTGCATGTTCCTGTAAAGCTTGGCATCCTGACTCTCATCTTTGAAAGGAAATCTAAGAGGTTCATATATCAGCTGGGTAATACAATGTACTCTACATATGCAGCAGAACTAGTTTATCTCCTTATGTTTCATCCCCTTAAGCTGAAGGATTCCCACTGTGAAGAACACATCGTATTTTACTGAGAAGTATCCCAGCCTCAGCAACAAGTATATTTTGTTCCTCTGTGACATCTCTTTCCCAAAATGACGTGAACTGAGAGCCCATTTTAGATAGACCAGGAGTTGGAAAGGGCTCTGAGAGGAAGAGCTCCATTCCTGCTTCCTAGCCAAACCACTCTCCCTCGTGACCCACGCTCTGTGGATTCCTACTGCCTAGAAGGGGAAAATGTGGACCCGTGGTGTGATAGCCCTCCCCTTGTACCTGGCCACACTCTGGTGGTCCAGGGTGCCCTACCGGACCCTGCCAATGCCCAGTGAAACAGTGCCCAAGTTCTGCAGCGTAGCTAGACAACTCAGGCTAGCATCAGGGTTTGCATCTGTGAAACAGCAGCTGCACTGAGACCTATGGATGCAAGAGGCAATAATCATGGTGACAAGATGTACACCTAGAAGACTCTTCAGCTGAGCTACGTCAGTTCATAGATTGGGGAAGCTGGACTCTGCTGTGTGGGATTTTTTGACTCATTGCCCTTCAGATATGGAAGACGGGACCAGTTCACTGCAGCTACAAGGAGCTCTGTTGTATATATCCTGAGAAAAAGAATGTTACGCAATTCTAGGGTAGAAAGCAGTTGGATTAATATTGGAAGTGCCACACTTTTCATGCACAGATGATCTGCCATTTCTAGTTCTGGATTCAGCATTAAGGAGACTCCATACAATTACTTAAAGTCTGAGGCATGAGAAAGAAGTAAGGACTTCAATTTGAGTGAGATTAACATTGTAATTACCAGTCTCCAAATTCCATATGAAATCATGGTAATCAGCTTTCATTTCTATCTAAAGACTGCCTGCTGCATATGTTCAGTACTGGTTTACCTAATTACTGTTCAGAATAAAGCACTATAAAACCTGTGTCAAATGTCTGCAATACCTCTGGCGTCAGTCTGTGTTCACTTTTGTGTATTCACTGACAGTATTGACCTCCAATAAATGATAGGAATGGAAATGAACAGATTCATTTAGGCCACAAAATCAAAATAAAAATTGAAATCAGTGCCCTTCTGGACAACATGTTAGTTCCTAGTAAGGACTATGTTACTAGCTGATCACAATATACAGAGAATTCAATTATGTATCCTCAAAAAATGGGAGCACTTTACTTGAGAATTCCTCTTGGTGTTTCAGGTCTGAAAGAAACTGGAAAGAGATTTGTAAATGGGAGCATGCAACCCCTAATATGCATACTGCTCTTCTAACACCAGAGAACAGCACGGTGGTTATTGTGAATTTGGAGACAGGAGTTCCGTTTTGTTTCTTGACCTTGCCAACCCACGAGAAGCCTTTAGACACAACGGTTCAGTGGTTTTACCAGCTTCCTTCCTTCTGTGGATCTTTAATGGTCTCTAACACAGTTTAATACCAGAGGGTTAACTGGAGTCATTGGCCCATATCTTTATAGGTACTGAGGGGACTAACTGCCACAAAAAACAATGGGAGGTGAGACCCTGCAGACCTCTGGGGGTCTTTGCTGATGTGCACCAGGTGTTCTGATACATGGATAGTACTCAGAAAAAGAATGCAAAATGTAACAATTACTTTGCAGCCCATCCTGTCTGAGAAGGAATTGCCTGCAAAGATCTTTACCAGCTCAGTAACTTCAGTGGTAGCTGAATGACTGGGAAGTCTTTTATGCACCCCATCGTTGTCTGATCTATTTTGGAGGCTGGGATCAGAGTTACCCAGAGCTGTCGTCACTGTGGTTTCTACAGGTTCTCCTGGAGGAGGTGGGTCAGGGCACTGTGCATGGGGTTGATGGCTAAGCAGCTGCACAGGCAGTCTGTACATCGGCAAGATGGACTAGTTGCCTGCATCTGTACAGTCTGTTTGTGTCTGGGCACTCACTCTTTGTCAGGTAGTTCCAGTTGTCCAGCAGGCTATATCACACATTGCTACCTCTGTGCTGGTCTGCTAGACTGATGAAAACCTCTGGCAGATTGCCCCATACCTCTTTTTCCACCTGGATGAGATCTCCTGAAGGAGAAAAGCTCAGACATCACTCTCTCAGCTTTTTCAGGTTCTGAAAACATTCCAGTCCAGGAGCCAGTCTTCATTCAAGGGGGGTCATACTCTGTGTAAATGCTGATCAGAGCATCTAGCACATCCACACAAATTTATGTAAGCATGTCTTCTCAGAGAGTTCCTTGTGGTAGCTTTGCCAGGAAGGGTTATCCCATGAAAGCAGAGAGAAACACTGCCTCAGGGTGGGGCCCATCTTTCTCCACCTCCTGACTAATGCCAAGGTATCCCAGCCTATGCAAGGCAAGCAGATGTTAGAGATACAAAGCTGTCTTAGTCTACAGAAGGCAAACCCATTTATTGGTCATTTATAAACAGGGTAGCTTGCTCATGAAAAGCTCAGGTTCATTTTTCACTTCTCCCTCTTCTCTCTGCCAGTCCCAGTATGAAACCTATCCATCCTGCAGCATGTGAGGGAGAAGTATCAGTAAGGCTCCTGCTGGGGTGAGAAATGCTGTTATGGTCTATTGTTCAGTCCCAGCTGTGCTGGCCTCTGGGCCTTGGGCAAGAAATTGCATGGGAGGACATGGGAAAACATGTGTGGGAGCTTGTGTATAGAACACTTACGTGCTGAAAGGCGGTGGTTACGATGGAGAAAGTGAACATAACTGAGGACTTGCTCAGATCGCCAAACTGCTCCACCTCACCTTTCAGCAGAGCATTACTATCCAGTGATGGGTGATGGCTCTGATGGAAAAAAACAAGCCGTGGCTGGCTTTTGCAGGCAGTTGCAAACTGCAGTGTTATGTGTCTAGTCATCTCATCACTCGCTCAGCTGCACTGTCATTGCCCACTTCCTGCTCTCAGCTTTTCGTGGAAGAGAAGAGTTACATCTTCATGTCTTGTGGTAGCAAAAGTTGTTTGTGGGGAAGAGTGTGGTGGTGTGCTCCCCCTCCTCCCCCCCCTTTTCTTCTTAATCAGCAGCCACCAGTGGTGGTCACGGTGGCTGCATCTGGCTTAAGCTGGACTCTGGGGAGACAGATAACAACACAATAGCTAAGGGCCATACATCTCACTCAACAGCTGAGGGCTAGTTGAGCATGGGCCAACCAAAATACAGCCGGTATGCGAGTATGACTAGAAGTCAATCATCTTACTCCATAAATAGTGGAGAGCCCAGAGCCTGTTGAGCTCTCTGGCACGGCAGTGGGCTACACGCCAGGATCTCCCCTTGAGTAGGGACGCCTCTCAAGGTTACTCCTCGAGGTTGAGAGAATCCTTATCACATCAGATACTCGGTAAGTGAATTGCGAATAAGCACACTGAAACTTTGAAATATTAGCTAAGTGATATAAAGGATTGATTGTGCAAATATAATGCTTTAGACATAAACCATTGACCAAGTCTGGGACTAAGTCTGGATCCAGCCGCACCTAAACTCCCCCCTGAGAAGGAGTTTAGAATGCAAGAGGGTCCTTTCTGAACCTCGTGACTCAACGGGAGGGCATCCCTGACAGTTTTGTCTGACCTTGTCTTCTATGCAGTAAATAATCAAGTGTACCTTGCCATTGAATTTTGTTAAACCACTGTCGCATTTACCATTGAAATTCACTAACTTGCTGTCTTATATCAATAAAATATATTGTTGCTTCTCTCGTGCGAGTGACGTGCACCACTCCTTCTGCGACAAAGAGCAGTTTGGTTTTGAAACTTGAAAAATGCTATGCAGAGCTAATTGGCCCCACTGGAAAATCAGTACAGTTTTGAACCCTGAATATACTATCCTAAGGGCCTAGAAAAGACAAAATTTGCACATACATTGACATTTCCTGAGGCAAAGCAGTTAAACTGATGTCAAGGAAGTTCTGAGGGAATATATTTACAGAGCAAGTAAAATAAATCAGTGGATAAATGATGTTAATATAGGAGAGGGGGAGAAAGCACAGAGATTGGAAGAAGGAAAGTCTTCAAAGATACTCAAAAATACTTAGACTGTTACTGAAAAGAGGCTAGGACTCATAAAAGCAGCAGAAAGAAAGGTACATGGTAAGGCAATGTGCAAAAATAAATTAAAAAACCCCCGGCCAGATAAAGAGGCAGAAAGAACTGAGGAGGAAGACATAGAAACACTACAGAAACATGCAGGAAGGAAAAACAGAAACAAAGAAGTGAATGTCAAATGGAAGCAAAAAAGCAAGGAAAAGAATAGGGGTAACAAGAACACTCATTCTATCATTGTATCTTGCATTGTTTACAAATCCCTCTTTTGGGATGGGCCCTGGATCACTGGCTCCTGGGCAACTAGGCTGAGACCTCGGCAGAGGAACTGGGAACAGCAAAGCTGGTGGGAGCTGTGCCTGAGGGAGAGGGTGGCCCAGCTTCAGCACTAGAAGGGAAGTGTAGGAAGGGCAAGATGGTGCTGGGAGACCTTCTTCCTCTTTCCTCCTTTCTCCCCTCACCATGCCTGATCCCTCAAATATCCTATGAATCCAAAGCCAGTTTTATGCTTCGTAAGAAGAAAGAAGAGGTGAGAAAGGAAAGAAAGAAAATTTTCAGGGTTGCAAAGCCACATATAACCCTAGAGGACTTACTTTTGAACCCGAGTCCAGCTGCCATAACAGTGTTGCACCTGAGCTCAGTGGTGTTGATGAGGTGAGATCAGACAGTGGGCTGGTGCAGCTCCATCCTGCCCATCTCTTTACTTCCGTCTCACTTTATGCTGGAGACATAACCTATGTGATCAACCCCTCCTGGCCTTCTTTTATTCTTAGCTCCGAC